GAAAAGCAGGACTAAGCCTCCAAAGGAATCTGCTACTGCTTTTCCCCTGGGGATATACTTTTTTAAAATATCCCTCAGCAGTATTCTTAAGGTAAGCAGTTTGCAAGGGGCCAGACATAAATCTTGGTTGGCAGGGATGGATTAGCAAATCCAAAAGAAATCTATGAGAGACTGAAGAACTATGTCTAGTAACTGCCTAAAAATAAAAAATTGTCGTCTTGTTTGCTTCTGTGGTTAAGGAGGTTGTTGTTGCTTTAGAGAAGAATAATTGAAATTATCAGTTATCCTCCTCCTTTCCAAGTAGACAGTTTGCAGGATTTATAGCATAAACCCAGAATTCTGCTCTATGTTTTCAAAGCATAAAGAGAAAAACAGAATCTGAATAGAATGAAGGCAAGCTCTCACATAACACTGAGGACAGTATAGAACATGCTTTAGACCCATACACTCAAAGAAAAACCATAAAAGAAAAACAATACAGGGAGGGTTTTGGAATCATATGTTGTTTCATAGGTCTTCATGTGTCGCAGCTTACTCTTGCCCTCATGCTGCTTCCTCTTGTGCCAGCATAAGGATTTACACAGTGGCAGATGAACCAGATCAGAGACTTGATGCAGATTATAGTTAACAGGAGCAAAAAGGGAGGTTAGTTTTAATCTGAATCAGGTAACTGATCTTGCTTATCAAATAGCTCTACAAATTTTCTTTGCACCAAGAAAGATGAAAGAAAGGAACAAAATCAGTGGAGGAAGGCAAGATTATATTTTTTAATAGCAGTGCTGACCTGTGCTATTTTAAATCGGATGAGAAATTGTAGACTATAAGTGGACTGACTTTTGGACCAGACTGTATTAACTTATTCTCAAAATTAGCATCAAGCTCTTATCATAGACCAATCTGGTTTTAAGAAAAAGAAATTATTTTGTTACAAGGGCAGTAAATTTATTTTGTCTCACAAATTACTACTTCATAGTGGTCAAAGGTGACTCTACAACTAAATGCCAGTGTTAAACTTATTTAACAATCTTTTGTTATAAAAAGTTTCCTTAGAACAGGTTAATCTCTGAACATCAATTATGAGATCTTCCAAGTTGTTGCTGTTCATAAAATAACATATATCACAATGCATGTTGTCTTGGCCATCTTTGTATTGTCTGTATTGATCAGTCAGAAATGTTGCTTAAACACTGTAAGAGAACATTATCTTCCAATCTGTGCGTTTTTATTAGTTGTGTAGCAAAACATCTGTGTTCTATTCAGGTAATTAAAATGTTCACCTCATATATAGTAATTAGTTTTGAGTATACTTTAATTTGTGTGCTAAAGCAAAATACTTGCAGAACTGTACCTAAAAAGTTTAGGGATAATTTTGAGTATTGAGAGGAATATTTTTTATGTTCAGATGAAATATGACTTATGTAGAACTAGACAGTGATGTTTTTTTCACCATTGCTTTAAGTATACTGCTTTTTTCTTTTTGTATGAAAAGTTCAGTGTGTGGATGGAAAAAATTCTTAAGCATCTTCCTGAGGACTTAAAATGTTTTCTTTTTTACTACTGGTGACAGAAGATGTGAAAGGAAAGCTGTGGCATACTATAGAACACAACTTGGAACACATGCCCATATTCCTCCCTGTTCTTAAACAGAACATCATTATTCTCTAATGCTTTTCCTGGAAATCAGATCTCTCACTAAGAAGCGAATGTAGCACAGGATTGTTTTACTAAGATGACACCCAGTTTACATCTAAGAAACCTACAACTTCTAGTAGATAGCTCATGGGTCACTTCAGTCATTCTGAGTGTTGACAGTAACTTGTTTTCTTGCAGAGAAACCAATCCTATCTATTGATTTTTCTATAGGCAGTACACGTGAAACTTCCATTTTGGGGAATAGAAGTAAATTTTTTGCAGAAAGCATATTTCCTAATGTTCAAATATTTTACAGATTAAAAACATGTAACATGAAAACTATAGTATTGAAACTTACAGTAAAAGCTTTTCTAAAAGCTGCTTTATGTATATAAATTTACTTCGTAATTTTTATCTGCAGTAGTTAAAACCAGAGTGGTTTTGTTTGTTTGTTTGTTTGTTTGTTTGTTTTACAGATGAGAAACTTGGTGTTATTTCTTCAGAAAGCACAAGCTTTCCATGGAATAAAACTGGTGACCAAAAGTGAAAGCATATGTTTGTATATTCTCTAGATACTATACAAGCAATTGGATTTGTAACTACTGCCTAAACATATCTACAGATGCTGTGCACTTACCCTGATGACACAACATCCAAGACTGGCATATGTTCTTAGCTAAAAACTTCATGCTACCTTTACTACTTGCAACTGTTCTGTCAGTGTGGCGGTGATTGAGTTTGAGTGTTGCGCCTCAGACTGTTTTATCTTGAAGTATTTCTTTGTAGCTTAATATGCCTTCAGAACAAAGAGGGTTTCTAGAAGGATTAGTGGGAGTTTGTGATAAGCCATCTTTACGTTTCCATCTCTCCTAACTGTGTGATAGGACAGTCTCTCTAATGATTAAGAGATACTAATATAAAAGGACAGTTATCTTGTATTCCTTTTAACTATTACATGAAAAATAACTGTGGAGTGTTGTTTTTTTTAATGCTTAAAGCAGCATTAGAAAGAAGTGAAGCATCTTAATGCTATCTGAAATAGGCACTGTGGTAGAGGCTTGCTCCTTAATAACCTGCTTATGATGAGGGCGCTTGTGTTGGCTGGCAGCTCCTGTGCTTCTGACACTGAACAACTTAAACAGAAGCATCCTCTCAATTTCTGCTAGAGTCATCTAGGCAATTTTACTGTATTTCAAAGCTGGTGTCTGGTCTGCCATCCTAGGCAGATGTTGAGTGCACCCTATATGTGAGCCTACTCAGGATCTGTGGCAGGACACGGAAGCTGTTTCCTGAATGAATGGTAATAAATAGTGGATGTACTGAAGGAATATGTCTCCAGCAGAAACATGCACAACTAAAGACATGGGCAATGTTTAATGATCTCCACTATGGGGAGAATATGTTGGTAGCTCTGCTGAGCAGTTCTTCTAATGCATTTGCTATTAGTCATGACGTTCAATTAATATTCTGAAAATAATGAGAGAATTATGTTATCAGGAAACAGCTGATTCTCTCATCTTTAAAAAGCTTAGGTTTCAGTTAAAATATCCCACAATTTTTCTTTTTATAAGTGGAAGGACTAGACTCAAATTGGTATAGTTTTATTTCTGACTGTAGTTTTGGGTAACAGGAATCTTAACTCTACCATAAATAGGTATTAATTAGTTCATGAATATCTGTTTAGTTAGTGACATTAGTAAATCTTTAATTATATAAAGCATTTGGAGAGAACACTTCCTGAGCTCATACAGAATACCATTACACTTCGTAAATTATATTATATCTTTATTTAAATGAACTGTTACTCTATTAGGCCAGTGTCTATTCCTATTTTGACTCATTAGCAAAATTGCAATCAGTACCCTGACAGGCTAATTAATTCATTTGAAGTCATTAACAAAAAAAGGAAGACACAGCAAACTGTGTTTAAGTGTTCACCACACCAGTCTCGCATATTTATGTGAAAATACGGATATAAGAACTATACCTTGCATCATTAGAGAGTAATTTCTAATTAATAAGTATTTAATTGCTGCCCAGAGGAGTTGTGGGTGCCCCATCCCAGGAGGTTATCAAGGTCAGGCTGGATCAGGCTCTGGCAGCCTGAGTTGATGGGTGCCCTGCCAATAGCTGGGGAATGGAACTGGGTGAGCTTCAAGGTCCCTTCCAGCCCAAACCATTCTGAGATTCTACAGTTTCTAATTCTTAAGCGTTATAGGCTTGTTTTAAAATGGCTGTTGGTACTTCTGGTTTTGCTGTCCTTCCATGCAGGAGAAGCAGCGTGAAGCTAAGCGCTTGCTTTGTCAGTACTCAAGTGGTTATGTGAGTAACCCTCACAGAGGCTCCAGGGCAGCCCCACAGCTCCCTGCAGCCTCACACAGACTGTGGCCCCTGCAGACCTGTGGGTGACTCGTGGAGGAAAGAAGACCTGACAGGAAACTGCTCTCACACTGCCACCAGGAGAAACATACCCTGAGGATGACAGTGTTTTTTTTGTGAAGACACAGCAACATTCATGGCCTTGTCATCTGAAGTCCAGTAAGAAAACTCTACCTCCAATGTAGTGTTAGGAAGCGGTGCTCTTTTATCCCTCAGGGTATATATACTGAGCAACTGGTCAAGCAAGCGTGCCCTCTCAGTGTTGAGTTGTACATTTTAGCAGTTAAGACACGTATATGCAGTACATGGGCACTCACATTCTCTTTCAGGGACTTGTAAATTAATATCCCTTCGGGCATGTGAAGTGGTATCTAGGATTTTTGCCATTGGCTTCATCACCAGGACCTTGGAGTCCCTTTCATCCAGTTTGGAAAGATTCTGTTTCTTATTAGGCCACAGGGAGTACAATATAGGTGGAAGCTGAGGAAATACCCTGTCAACTTTTGAGGCAGAAGATAGAAATATTCTATTGTGACTCCAGTGCTTCTTGTGAGGTAAAACCATTGAGGCAAAAGATGAAAGTATTCTGCTGTTTCTCCGGTGCAGAATTACTGGGGAAAACAAGACCTTTCTCTCACTGAAGTTGAAAGGGAAAGTTTTAGCTTGCTGCCCAGGCTGCGCTGCTCGCTTCCCGGCGGCGCGGTTCGGCCTCCCGCCCTCCCGCCAGGGGGCACCGTGGCTGGGCCGCCCTCACCTCACCAGGTCGCGGCTCCTCCCCGCCGCTCTGACTCAGCGGCCCGGCCCCCGCTCGCACCAATTGAGTTCCCGGTGCCGGGTCGGGGCCGCCTGCCCGCCGCCCCGCCGCGGAGGCAGATGCTCGCCCCGAGGGGACGGAGCCTGCGGGGCGCTCGGTGAGGGCGGACACGAGGTGATCCCTCCCCCTCCCCGCTGGGGGGATTAGCGCCGGCTGTCCCGCCGCTGACGGCGACTTACCTGTGCGGCCGTGTCCTGACGGCTGCTGTGGCGGAGACTGAGCGGAGTCCGCCGAGCCGCTCCCGGGGGAAACTTTCCGCCGCCGTGGCAGGTAGGGGCCGGCTCCGTCGAGGCCGGGAGGGGCTGAGAGCCGCCGCCTTTCGGGGCCCGGCAGGCTCCGAGCGGGAGCGGGGTGCTCAGGCCGGGCGGCTGCCGTCGGCCTCGTGGCCACCGAGGGGAGTATGTAGGTCACTGGAAATAACGCCCGCCTAATCCCCTTTATCTTTTTCGGTAGGAGGCGAAAGAAGAGAGGCTTTTCTGTCGGTGTTCGGAGGGGCAAAGGGGGCGGCAAACTTGCGTGACAGAAAGCGGACATCTTGGCGGGACGGAGCGGGCCGCGCTGCTGTCTGCGGGGCGCGTGGGGGAGGCGGGCTCTTCCGCTCAGGTGAAGTTGCCTGCCGGACCTCGTGCTGTCAGCTGGGATCGGGCTTTTGTGGCAGCGCTCCTGTAACACGGATTATTTATCGTCGGGAAATTGACTCTGTCATTTAACCGAATGTCCGAAGGTGTTTTCCAGGCACGGCGAGGGGAAAATGTCTGGGTGCGCTCGTGAGTGTGCGCGTTCTTCCCGTGGCAACGAGCAGATGTAGCAGCTTGTGTGGGCTGCGCCACCGCTGCCTGGTTTTGGGCGCTCCCAGGGGCTAATCAGCGGGCACGGAGCAGGAGGCTGTGTGTAGGGCCGGCCGGCCCGACAGGGACGGTTAGCCAGGTCGGTCGTGATTTATTAAAACCGAGAAATACGGAGGTTGGAATTTGAAGGTTTTTCTTCATTTGGGTTTCCTTCTTCTCCCGGCCAAGGCGTGGGGTGGTTTAACGATTGGCTTTAATACATTTCAGATACTGGCAGGAGGAGGAGGGTAAATGTCTAAAAACCAGTGTGTTATCTTTGCCCACCCTTATAGTTTTTCTGGATGAACTGAAAAATACTTCAGAGTCTGCCAACGTGTTCTCTGTTGGGATGTCTTCTGTAGATTCGTGTGAAACTGGTGCTGCTCGGGGTTCTGTAGTGGTGTTTTTTTTCTGCAAGACATTGTTTTCATCCCTTCTCCTAAGAAGGATTTGGGGCCTTATTTTCCTAGGGGTGAAGCATGATGTTTTTGTCTTGTTTTGTTTTCAGGGTGAAGATAGGGTGGCAACAACTCTATTCAGAGAGCTCTCACTTACACTGTGTTTGTGTGAAGTTATGCAGTACAGACCTATGCTGGTTTTGTGTCATTGATGTCCAGAAACAAGTCTTTTAGAAGGATAACAATGGGAAGGAATAGAACACATGGAGGAGTGAAGTCAGATTAGTAGTTTCACTTCATGTGTGCTGTCTTTCTTCATTCGGGCGGTGTGTGAAGGTGTTTGCCTACTCTGAAACTAATATAAGAATAAGGACCTAACACTGCGTTTTTTTTCTTTTTTGCTGTTTCTGTATCAATGCAAGTGAAAAGTCAAAGGAAAAAAGAGAAGACAGAAAACCCTATATTCTCCATTTTCAAATATGAATAGTTGTAAGTCTGTGGGTTGTCTATTGGTGTGAGGATGGCAGCTGGAGTTGTGAAGCTGTTAGAGCACCCAGATGCCCTTTTCTGTGATCCATCTCAATCAAGATACACATTTTCAATTGACTTCTGCAAACAGCGATTTTAATCTATTTATTGAGCCATGAAGATTGACGATACGAGTGAGCTGTGTAAAAACAATGAAAGCCATGCTGCCAAAGCCTACAGAAGAAATATAACTTCATTTAGGGTTTTTTTTTTTACCTTACTTTTTTTAGACTTTACAGTCTAAACAGTAAGAATTGGATTGCACTCTATAAAGTTTTTTTTTATCCCTAAATGGAATACACAACTTTGTGGAATTCAAAATGAAGAGAATCAAAATTGGAGAAAGTACTGCTGTTGTGATTTTATTCTGTCCGGATGTGCAACTGAATTTCAGCAGAAGTCTATGTGTTTTCTTTTCAAAAGATTATATACTAATTCACTGAAAACTGCTAAGCTCAAGTCTTTGTACTTACAGACTCTCAGTACCATCTGAATCATCAGTTTCTCTGCTAAGTTCTTGAGAGATTGTCAAAGATTACTTTGATGTACAAGTTTTAAGGATTCTTTTTTATTAAACAATTTATTCACAAGCTGCTGTTCTACCCTTGCACATCTGTATTTATTGTTATATAAGCATTACTTTTTGATCCTCACAGAATGTTGCATTGCAAGTGCTTTTCAAATTTTAATTAGGCTTATGGAAATCCATCATAGTTCTTAGTGCAGGAGTTGTGCGCTCAAGTTTTTCAAAACACAGGTCAGCATATCCTACTATAATCTTATTGTGACTGACAGTTTCTGTCAAATGTTTGAGAGAGATGCTTTCTCTCTGTGCTTTAGAACATGTCTAGAACAGTTGGCAGGTTTGTGCTGTTTGCTCTGTGTTGCTGAGAGTAGGGCATTTCAGACCTCTCATCCTTTTCCTAATGGTTTTAGAACTATACTTGGTTTTAAACTTAGAGTTCAAGTATCTGTAAACCAGAGCATGTCTAGGGCATGCTCTGTTTTTTGACCACAAGCATTCTTCCTACTCAGTTCTTCTTGCTTTATTCAAACATAATGATGTGGCATTGCTGGCTTTCTGGTGATCTCTTTTCAATCTAACCAAAAACTGTCTGACCTACCACCCAGTAAAAATCTTACTCTGTGCCCTCATCTAAGTGTCCAGGAGAACACTGCAAAATAGTGCTCTTGTGTCATGTGGTCTGCTCCATTGCTTTTGGGAGTCTTTCAGTTGTTGTTATATGACAGTGGATGTGTCTACTTCAGGTGTGCTACAGATGAACTGCCAGTACTCTGACAACGTGTTGCTGAGTTTGAAAGCCTTGGGGTGCTTCCAGAGGAAACTACAAAGAACTGTTCTGGACAAAAGCTGAGGCTCTATGGCCTGAAAATTCTGAATTTCTCTGTCCTTTTAGGTGCACAGTGGAATGGCTATTAGTATGGCTTTTCTGTAAGAGTTGCTGTATCTTTAAAAGCTCGTGCAAACTTCCCTCAGTGCTTTGTCCTGATTGAATTCATCCCTTCTGTAAGTGAGATACGGGATTTCATACTGTCTTGTAGAACAGGTCAGATAGACTTAGGTCAGGTCTGAAAACTCACTAAGCGAAATTGAAAGAACAGTTTTGAATGCACTCGGGAATGCATATAGCAATAAGTGGTGCTTATTGTTGTATGCAGGAGTTAGTCCTGTGTAATAAGCACACACCAGTATGTTATTAAAGTGTTGATTTAAGTTTGGAGCTGCTGTGGTAACCACAAAGCGTTCACAGCTGAAGTTACTTTTAGAAAGACTAAGAAGCTTTGGGGAACTTATCTTACTTTCTGTCTTACAGTATTGATCATGAGCTCTTCCTAGGGCTATGTGTAAGTATCTTATAGTAAATGAGTCATATTGATGGTGTGATAAGGGCACTTTCCTTTTTAAATCGTGTGGCCCAAAATGCTTATCAAAAGTGATTCTGAAGGGCACATTCTGATGAGTCAATTCAGTACAGAATGAAAATAGAGCAGGTAAGCTAAGGCCCTCTAACAGTGGTAGTTGAAGCTCAAAGCACCTGAAAATATAGTTTATGAATACTGCCTTTGATATCTAGTGGGAGAAAAGCTGGGAAATAAGAAATAAATGGAACTATCTGCATACAGGAGGCCTTAAACCATTGTTCTGCACATACCAAATAACACTTGGCTTCTCTCTGCAATAAGCTGCCACCTGAAAAGGAGGAATGAGGTCCTGAATGAGTATGTTTCAGATCTGCTTAGAACTTTGATTTGCTTTGTTTTGTCTCTGGACGAAAGGTAGCACATTTTCATTGCAGTTGCAAAATTTGTTGTGGAATTTGTTTGGCTTCACACTGTGGTGGCTCCCCATGGGTGAAGTTATTGAGAAATCAGTGACTTCTAAGGGGAAACAAAAAGAGAAAATATCCAAGTGTAAAGTAATATGGAATTGCCTGAGTGCACAGTAACAGTTAATTTTAGTCATAATTAGCATCATAGAGGACATGTTATCTGCTTCTGTGTGGGGAAATACATGGCAAGATTAGTGCTAAGTGTTAGAGGTATTTTTATTGTGTCATTTTTCCTGTATATCTGCAGAGGAATAGTGAAATGTTTTCTCCCCTTGCACCTCTACCCCACTCTGCAAACAGCATGACAGACATCACTGTAGTTATTTAGTCACTGCATGCATTCATATAGCTTTTCTGGTTTGGTTTAAACCAGCCAGTCACGCTGTGTGATAATAAAAACAGTGCTAAGCTCTTTGTGTAAGCAACTGTTGCTGAAAGATACTTGTGCCCTTTCCCCTCCTAATTCTGGTTCATTTTGAACAACTTGTCTGTGTTGTGTTCTCAATGAGGGGAGATTTATTTCTGTGAAACTTTTTATATCAGTAGCCTTAATGTAGTCACCATTCTAGTAATAGTTTGGTTTGCCTGGAGAACAGATGAAATGATGATGGTAAAAGGTCACAGCAAGAAGGATTTTCTAGTGTAGATTAAAATAAAAAAAACAGCAACCAACCAAACAAAAAACTTTTAAGCTATTTAAAAGACCTCAATGCCAGTGAACTTGTGAATTATAAATTAAATTTAACTGTGTGCTGTCTGCTGTGCTGATGGTCAGAGAATTGAATTGCTGAGGAACCAACCCCACCTGAACTGATAGAATCTTTAGTAAAACCCCAGGTACCCTGATGAGGGAGAGGAAATATATGTTAATATATTTGCAATAGCTAAACGTTTGTTTCAATATTTTTTTTTTTTTGACACACAAAACAAAGCAGCAAACGAAAACCTGTTGGTGTGCAGCTGGGTCCAAAAAAGCAGTATGACTTTAACTGAATTATGTTTACTCGTTTTCATGTGCCAGTTTATAGTCCTAATGCAACACAATTGAGAGACAGAGATCATTTGGCTTACTGCTTTGGCGCTGTACTGGTATTGTGTTAAGAGCAGTGTTTCTGTAAGGATATGTCTTGAACATATAAGGGAAGAAAGGAGTTTGAGCAGGGAGGTGCTACTTGCACAATCACGTGTACTTGTTTTGTCACAGTGCACCAGAGTGCTGTACTGAATAAATCTGTGCTGTTTCCTTCTTGCAGATTTGTGGCGCTTCTATGTTTTTTCTTCTGCCACAAACATGTCTTAAGTACAGTGCCATAAATTCAGAGTCCAGTAAGAAAACTTACAGAAGACAGAAGCTTTTCTCCTCTGGTGAGCAACTCCTTATCCCGAGTGCTGGGCTGTTCAGGAAGCACACACTTCCAAGTGTAGAGTTGTGGGTGCATTTTGGAGCTGTGGGCTCTCTTATCCTCTGCATGTTACCTGAAATTATGCTGAGTTCTTTCATGTGCCTCAATGAGGTACAGCTGGGACAAGTGCTACGCAGCCAAATACTTTTCTATGAACCATTAACATCTTCAAATAAAAAGGACATGTTGCTCCTTGGTTTGCTCACACACTGTTATTTAACCCTCCCAAATGTCCTTTGGTGTGGATTGAGAGAAGCAGTCATGCTGGGACTTCATTCTGAGATTTGAAAATATTAAGTTATTTTAGCTAGCTTGTTATTTTGGGTAGTCATGCCTTTGTTTTAATATCTTTTTAAGTAGTTTACCTTTTTTTACCATTAAGTATAGGGAAGCACAGAACATAGTCTGCAATTGCATTTGGAATTTCTAGGTGTAAGTGGGTGACTTCCTTTCTGAATTCCTGACTTGCATTAAAATTAATTTTGCTTGCCTGCTTGGAGTGGTTTCAGTTAAACAATTAGAAAGCTCTTTATCAGCTCCTTGAAATACTTTCATATGCTGTGGAGCATATGAAGTAAAAATACTATGTTTTCTTAAAAGAAAAAAAAAAAAAACAAAACAAAAGAGGAAAGAAAATAAATTGATTTTCTCTCATAACGATTTCTGTTCTTAACGTTTTGGTTGCAGCAGAATGAACAGCACTGGGAAAGATGGTATGAAGTCTTTGCCAGATACCACAGAAGCGAATCTTTATGAATGTCAGTGGTTACATCTGCCTTCAGCAGAGTTTCACTGGCATGATTTTTATGTGGCAATGTTTGCCAGCAGCAGCCTGGGGGGCTCCTAACTCACTAGCGTTGATACAGCAGAGCACATGGTATTATTGAGATGGTTTGGTAGATTATCTGTATGTTATATAGAGCTGAATTTGTCTCACTTCGATGCCAGTGGAGTCCTTGTACTTGGAAAACTTCTTTCTATTCACATGAATGTTTTACTGAAAAAAATATATTCCAAGAGAAACAAATAAGGCATTTAGCAAATGTGGCAGTTATGATGTGTTTATTCAGTGCAATTTATATCTTATACTGGTGTTACTTTTAGCAGTTTGCTTGTTAATAAAATGGGTTAGTCAGAAAAAGTAAATAATGTCTGCTACCCAATATGAAGGGTGTAAGGGTGAAGGTAGAGGGTAGTGGTGGTATAAAGCTGGTATAATACTCTTTGGTAGATCAGGTGCTGAAAGTGAGAGCAGACAACGTTCTAGGCATACGGGCCTTGTGTCTGCTGATGTTCAAGGTAGCTCTGTTAAAATGACTGAATTATGTGGCTGCTGGTGTGTGTAGAAGCTATCTGAACTCTTTTCCAGGCATTGACATTTCTTTTAGGCTTTGCCTGTAAGGAGGAAAATTATTTGCAGAATTTGTAACTTGTATTTGCGTGAACATTTCCCATTAGCCTTCAGTAAAATTCAACAGCATTTGAATTAGTTTGTGTGCAGCATTTTAAAAAGTTAAATGAATTAAAGATGAATTAAATGTTATCTGATTCTTCCTCTCAACAATTTAAAATTGCAAAGTGGTAGCAATGTGCCTTGCATTTCACGGGTGTTGTATTAGTTTAGGAAGTGCTAAACTATGCACAGCTTAAATCCAGTGCTTGCTGTATGTTATATTATTACCATAGCAGCTGTGAGCATAGTGATTCAATAGGTGGAAAGTTGGTGTTCAGTTTTGAAGTAGCAACGAGTGTAAGAGATAACATTTTGTTATATGGACCTGTAGCAATGATAGGAATTATATTGTTCCTTCAGGAAATTATGTTAATGGCAGAAATAGAAACTATTTCTTTACAGAGGGAACTGTGAAAAGCAATGAGAGGTTCCTTAACATCAAATGCAGCTGGGAGGGGAAAGGAGTCCTGGCTAGGATGCTAAAGGGTGAGAGAATTATAGCTCAAGTACATGATATTAAAATGAAGCATTCAGAATGGGTAATTGGCAAAGATTAACAAGAAATCATTAGAGAAATACAATGTTTGTAAAAAGATGGGGTTTGCTGCTCTTTGAAGACCAGAGCCTTTGACAGATAATGCAAAAATATGAACAAGACAGGTCTTTTTTCACCTCATCCTTACTAAGAGAGTCTGACGTAACTGATAGTGAAGGCAAGTGCTAAAACCCTAAGCTGGCATGAAGAGAGAACAGGTTATAAAGCACTTAGGTAACTTTAAGTTTGTAGTGTTTCAGAAGCATTATTGAAGAGTCAGAGTTGGCTGATGTAATTCCTGAGTTGCTGTGGCTCTTAACTCACAGAGGATGTGTGTAATACTGGGACTCACAAGAGCAGTCATTGTGTGTCTTTAGAAGTGTTAGGAGGAGGGAGTGGAAATGCACAGTTGCAGACCCAATTGTTTAATTTTGAGTATTCCTTCCAGTATTTTTCCTATTTAGACAAAACAAATAAATAGCCCAGAAGATTTTATTTTTAAGATTAAATTGTTTTAAACTGTTGTTGTTTTTTTTTTTCTCCAACATGCTAATAGGCTCTACAAAGAGTAGAGGAGCTGGTACCTTGACTCGTTATGATAGAAGATGTCAGAATTTCACCCTGGTTGAAGACTGTCTAGAGGAGCTGACTGTGGGTAAGTTCTGAACCGCTTTGAAAAACATTGTTTTTGAACAGACTCCCAAGAAAAAAGGACTGTGGGCATGCCTACACCCACAGTAGCTCTGCAGAAGCAAGTCCTAGAACAGGCGGTGCTAGGAAATGTGCCATGCAGATGCTTAGATTAACTTCAGAAGCAGTTCAGTCTTGTTTGTGTGGAGCTGCATCCAAGCCACTGTGCTTTACTGCTTCCCTCTGTGCCACCGGGACTTAATCAGCTTGTGTTAGTGACAACTTGGCAGACTGTCCTTTAATCCACTGTGTGTTGTAAACAGCCCTCTATTGTGCTTCCCCTGTGGCCTGCGTTTATTTGGGTGCTCTAACTTTTCTCCTTTAATTAATTGTCCAGTAACAACACAAAACAGAGGTGGCTCTTGACTGTGTGAGGGTTCATGTCTGAGTGCTAGGGATAATGACAGTGAGATTAAACAGGTTTTAATTTCAGTTGGATGTTACTGAATCTGAATAGCAGAAGCAAAGCACAGAACTGAGGAAATTCTGCTATGTCAATTGATCTCTAAATCAAAAGTGAGTAGGCACGATTTCAGATAAAATCAACTGCTTGGGAAATTTCTTGTTTTTCTTTTTTAATTCACGGAGGGAAGTTTCTCAGGATGTATTGCTGCCATGATATGTTCTTTCTCTTAATTACCATTGTGTGTGTATGAAACAGAGCTATTTTTTAACAAACTTCCATTTTAATATTTTAAAGTCCATCTGCTGTTTTTGTGAGACTGTGAGTGGCATATATTGCTACTGGGAACGTTCACATTGTTTCATAAATCTGTGGACTGTGGTTTATGGGGTTATTTTCTTGGTTTTCACATAAAGGGGAGAGATAAGGAAAGTAATTTAAATTTCCCAAAGCACAAGGCTATGCATCTTTCATAATGTCTGGCCTGGGTAGTGGTGTAGGTTATGATACATGGGATGCAATACAATCTCCAAGGAAAACTTCCATCTCAAATAAAATGCAGTGTAATCCTGTGGTTATCCTGAGCTCAGAATTAATTGTGCCAAGGGGGATGGCTAGTTCTTGGCTACTCGCTTCCAAAATTCTTGGAAAGGTTTTTGCTGTTCTGAGAATGTCCTCTATCCTTGGTAAAAGGTTTGTGGGATTGCTCTTTACTGTGGCTTGAAGAAGCACTGAAAAACTTATTTTCTGTCATAATGGTGTTGATGTTATCAAGATTCAAAATGGAGCATCTTAATTTGTGGAAGTTATTGTTACAAATTAACTATTCGTGTGTTCTAGAACTTTTAGATCACTTTCCGCTGATTTCAGTGAGGATTGTATTTCAGGCTAAGCTAATGAGGCTGATTAAGTATGTGAGAATTTTTTCTTTCTTTCTCTCTTTCTTTCTTTCTTTTTTTTTTTTTAATTTGCTGCCATTTGTATGATTTGTTATCTTGTTCTAATTTTTGGAGCATTTCTTCTACCGTTACATATCTTCACATTTGTCTCAGTTTTCAGAAACGTTGCTTGTTCTCTTCACCTTGCCCTCCACTGTGTCATACAGAACGCAGATGTGTATTATTTCATACCTGACATGTGGTTTTGCTTATTTGCTTTTACAAAACTTTGTATTTGATGCAAAAGCAAAATCCTTGTTCTTCCAAATATATATTACGCTGGGCAAGACTGTACTTGGCAGTTTATCAGTGCCTAGAATGAGATCCAAGTGTCAGTGCCCTCTGGAGATAAGGATGTATTATTTTCTACCTGACAGTACTGAATTTTGCCTTGAAGTGAGTGAGACCCGGTAACAAGTACATACTGGCAGTATTGAGTGATTCATATGATTCTCCTGGGCTATGAGTACAGGAAGCTCTCTGCTTAATTGTAACTGTGCTTTTTAAAATTTCATTATATCTTTTTTTAATGGGGAAAAAAAAAAAGCCGTTTGGGAATTCAAATTACTGTGAATTCAAATTGCAGTAATTCAAATTACTGTGATTTCATATGCTACACTAAGTCTTCTTTTGCTCTCTAGCCTAGACTGGCAGTTTACATATGCTGTTTTTATTTGGTAGGTTTTAAATGAATTGGAAAGCTAGAGGCACTTACCTTGTAGAAAGTTACTGTAGTTTTATTGGTAACTTTTCAGATCTAGATTATTTTTTTTTTAAACATACTTGTGATCAGAGAATCTTTTCATCTTTTGAATGCTTTCTCCTTAAAACCTGCTCACCAACTTCATATCACAGGGAGCTCACACCTTTGCAAACAACTGAAGAACAGACCTTTACATCTTTACTACCTTTGTAGAGCTGACAAAGATCCATTGAGTCAGTCTTAAGTACTTTGAAGCTGAAGCACTGAATATGTTACGGCACCACTTCTAAATACGTCTAATGCTTTATTAGGTACACCATGGAACACATGCACTGGCCAGCTCAGAAAGCTCAGTGTTTGTTCCTCATTTTACCTGTGCTCTTCATTGACCGTCCCTTGTACCAATTTGCGGTTTCAGGCTTGTGATTCTAGGTAAGAAATGTCCTTATGTTGAAAAACAAACTTCCCCAAAAGAAAGCAACAGCAGCATCAAAAACAACAAAAAAACACCGAGCAAACCCCTCTGAACTGAGAAGGTTAGATCATAACATTTTCTGGAGCAGCGTGGTTCCATGTTGGTATTAGGTATCTATTTTTGTTTCTTTGGAGGCACGGGTTACAGTAGGGTTGCATTAAAGATCTTGGCAGGAAATGCTTTGAAGATAATCTGGAGAGTATGCAGATTCACAGAGATATCATTTTTTGAGAGGAAATTAGGTAGTTTTGAAGATTACCTCTTTGTTTTAATGGAGGCAAAATGAAGCTGCAAGGCTGTTACTAGGTTTCAAGTTGTCTCTGTGAATGCGCTTGTTACAGTCATCCCTAAAGTTCTGAAGAATAGAATGGAGAGGGATCTTTTGGGTTTTTATTTTAGTCTGTACTGCAAAAATTTTTTTTATTTCTGCTCTATAAACTGATAGTGTCTTCTCATAAGCATTTTAATTTTTGAGTGCTTTTGTTCGTGTTTCTTTAATGAGAAAGGTATTTCAGAACATGATTACAAACTCCTGGTCTACTTTTATAGCGTCTGAATTGAGCTGTGAGTTCTTGCCCAAAAAATAAACTTAGACAAAATAATTATTCTCTCCTGTGATGTACACTGTATTATTTTCTGTGTGATTCTTTAGAACAGCATGCCAAAAGCAGTTTCGAAACTTTTAACTCCTTGCTTATAAGAGGGAAAATGTGACAGCCTCTGTTTGTGTCGTCTGGAGGATTGTCTGCCAGACAGGTTAGCAGGATGTCTGTAAAATCAGTTTTGAATACTAAGCACTGTATAAATGAATACACTCTCTTTTCATGCTTGCTTTTTTTGTATGTGTGGGGCCTTGTTACACGTCAAATATGAATTTAATATAGATGACTCAATGTTAATGGAAATGTGTGGACTTTTCCTTCTTTGCCTTTGCATGCGCCTGGCTTATTTAACAAGATGTTTCTGAGATGCATTTCCTGTCTGAATAAATGAGTTTTGTGATCAACTGTTTGGCAGCATGAACTGCTTTAGCATTCAGTGTTGCACCTCTTCTTTCTGATTTTGCATTTTATGGGTGCAGCGTACGGCTGTGAAATGACCTGCCTTGGTCTGCCTTGATTGTGTACGCATGTATGTATTTGTCTTTTCTTGTGTGATTAGTTTTAGCCACAAGGATTTCTTAATTGCCCCAACCGGGTTCAGTGTGTGGCACAGAGGTGTTTCTAGGTGCAGCACAGGTTAATGGATGGCAGCAATGAGCTGGAGGCAGCAGGGAAGGGGAAGGCAGGTTGCTTCTACAATGGTGTGAGCTCATAACTGATGATGGCCTCAGTGCTTTCGGGCGTTTGTCACCAAGGTGGTGAAATCACTGGTCTTGTCTGTGTGTCTTATGCTGTGGAATACGGTTCCTTGCAGCTGCTTCTCTTCCATCCGACTTGAGCATTTATTGTCAGATGGCTTGTTCTCTTAAAGACAATCTTTTTTGCTTTTTACTTTTTTTCCTCTCAGGTATTAAGATGCCGAATTTCTTTCAAATGTTGGATGGTAACTTTGTATTTATGAGAGAATGATTTTCCTTATATATTTTCTCCCCTTTTCCTTGTCTGCATTGTGAAGCTGAACGCACTGAAAGCTGAGCAAACTTTTCTCCTAGCTTGTCCACCAAACAGGGCAGCCACTGATGCAGGTTTTTTGTTTTTGTTTGTTTGTTTTTTTTTCTCTGATGTGCAGGCATAAGTTAATTGCAGGTACAGTGTCTGTGTAGCAGACAGGGTATGGGTAACAGAAGTCTGTCCACTGGACCACGAGCTTTAAATTTGAAATGCTGGATGTCTCTATATGTTTTTGTAATAGGGATACTTGTCTTCTGGAAAGTGGAGTTGAGACTTCAATCCTGTTTAAATGCCAAGTAATGGCTCCAGTAGCAATGAGCTGCATTTAGATGATGTCAATTCTGGAGCATCCTGTCCACGTGCAGTGATTCCCTTCCTTTTTGTTGACTCCTATAGTATTGTCCACAGACGATGATGCATGATATTCCTGTGGCAACCACAGTAATTGTTGATATGTGAAATCAATGTATGGCAATTATCAAACGCTCTTTAGCTGTTTCTCAGTGCCCTGTAGCTTCTGGAGATCAGTACTTTGTGACCTATATACTGTTTAAGTAGGTCATAGATTACCAGTGGCGCACTGATGAGAGTACATAAGACCATACATCAGCGTTTTATTGAGTTTGAATGATTCCTCTTTCTTTATTTTCAGAATGTCTCTGTGTCATATGGGTAATGGGATGTAAAATAGTTGCCAAGTCCTTCATGAGGAGAATGTGGGTTCTTTGTTTGTTTCCCTCTGACTGTCACAGGTACACTGCAGGATACTCAGAGAGCTGAAGGAGAAGACTTTGCTAGCTGTGCTTAAAAAATAAGCATGCTTTAGAAATGCT